CAAATTCAAATTTTCACGCTTTTACGATCAACCCCTGTTTTTTAATCGCGATTTTTATATAGCAATAGGCTTGCAAGATGGCAATCGAATATAATAATTGTAGTAGGATAAATTTTCATGTATAATTCTTGAAATAACGTATATGGTAAAACAACGTTTGCCGAGTCAGCTAGTTTCATTATAAAATCTTTTGTCGTCAAGTATGCAGTGAGGAATACAGTCTTTACAATACGATTACTTATTGTCATTAATCTTTCATGAAATTTTTCCTTACATTTACGTAAAATAGCAAAAAATAAATAAATAAAATCATAAAATTTTACTGTGCATTGAAGTATAAATAAATAAATAGTATAATATACAGACATGAGCAAAACAAGAGGCAAAGAGCTGGTTTGTAATATAAAAAATTATACCTCTTCTAAATTATTACTATTTGAATGTGTTGAGTAAAGTTGAGTAAATTGAAGTAAAAGGACATAACTGTCAGTATTGGAATGCGGCTCGATTCGTAACTTCCTCCAACGCTAATTCAGTTTAGTTCGGACCTCAGGTAAACTCCTTCGAGAACATTCTTCAGAAGATTAAAATTTGGCTTGGAGTCGCGCTGCGAAGTTTCAATGACTTTGCTGTATCCATCGATCTTGTAGGATATTGTAGACCTTCGTGGCGTGATGGTGGGTATGTTACTTTGCGTAATCGGCGTCTCGGATTCGATTCCTGGTCGGGCTAATGAAATATAGAAAGTGAACTTTTCTGTATTTTTTTTTAATGGATGATAATGGAATAGTAACCCCACCCGCGCTATCGGTATACACCGGCGGGGCACCAGTGAAGAATGATAGGCGAGGATGAAGTAGGTCAGTTAGCCCATCGTGACAAATTCAACAAGAATTGTTCACGATGGTTTCCAGGGGGAACTACGTGGAGGTCGACCTAATAAGCAATGGGGCTGTCAAACTCCATTGCTAACAATCCTTTTCCCCCCACTTTTTTGTATTAGTTCAGGTGTGGGTGATCTGGTGTTATATCCTTGGATTCTAACTGCATGGTTCCTCATAATATAGGCTTAGTGTGAAGAGGACGAGATTGCTTTAGATTACATAACTGCATTTTCAAATATCACCATCATTTCAGCCGTTAACTGTCCACTGCTGAACATAAGTCTTCCCCATAAGGAGTTTTGCGTGTAGTTGCCACGCTTGGCAGGCGGATTGGCAACTGCAGTTAGGCTTTGAAGATATTTTAAGAGGGACGCTGCTAACCATAACTCGCTCTCCCTTAGTCGTCTTTTACGACACCCACGGGAAATGAAGGGGTGCCGGGATGAGGTCCCGACCGACATTTGGTACATACTGGTGATAAATGAGATATTACATATTTTCAATGTAATGTATGTTATATTACGAGTACATTTAAATTTAGAACCCTGAGTCGAATAGTAGATTATGCTAAGCAAAAAAAAACATGTTAACTTCAAAAAGAAAAATTTGGCTTAAAAATGGTGAGTTCGAATAGCGACTTTTTTATGTAAGAATGAATGCAGAATGACAAACAAGCTGACGGCCCACCTAATGGAAAGTGGTAACTGTCGTCTATACATATAAACAGCCATGAAAATAAAAAAAAAAAAAAAAACAGAAACTGGGCGTCGCTTTAGATTCCGAGCGTACAAATTCCATTTCACTTCTGAATTTAATTATTCAAATTGCATTTTTTTTTATGATAAATTAATTATTCGAATCAATATATGGGAACGGGCTTTGATAAGTCAGTCGTTAGTATTTGTATTTGTTTATTTCATACTACCTGTACTCCGCGGTTTTGTCTGTATTAATCTGTATTAAGTATTCTATGTTTTAAAGTTAGTATATAACATATCTATGTACCAAATCCCATTCAAATCCGTTCAGCCGATTAAGAGTGCTTAAGTTTTGTTTTTTTTATGCAACTTAGAATGGCAAACAAGCTGACGGTCCACCTGATGGAAAGTGGTAACCGTCGCCTATAGACATGAGCAGTACCATGGACATAACAGAGTATACTGTTTCGCCCATGATACCCCCCATGCGTTGCCATTCCTGTGGACTCAGGTGTTATTCCTCTGTACCATGTAAATTCACTGTCATTACTTATCATAACATCTTTACAGATTTTCAAATGTTTAATACTAGTTATACTCCGCTACTTTGTCCGTGTACATCAGTCTATTTAAAATATTCTATGTGTTTAGGATACAACCTATTTTTGTACCAAATTTAATACAAATCCGTTTAGTTTAGTAGCGTGAAAGAGTAACAACATACATCCATACAGCCTCATAAACTATTGCATAGCCTCATGAGCAGTAAAGAAATCAAGCTTCTAAATCGACGCTTCTAAATTGAATTAAAACATACGGCCGTTTACTTTCCATTTATATCGCATATTTTGTCATTAGCAAAGGGATTCAATACCTATAGGATACTTCTCGTTGACCAAGAACAATGAAATTTGGCAAGAAGCAATGTCATGCAGCACAAGCAAAGGGAAAAATCCCGAAAACTGTAAATTTGTAGTTATTTCACAAAAAAAAACTTGATCATTTTGTATGGAACCCTCATTACGCCAGTCCAACTCGCACACGATCGGCTTTTTTTCTACATAATTTTACTAATGGCAGATTAGATTAGAAATAATAGAATTTCATCATGCCTCCTATCAAACTGTTTATAATTACTCCTCTCCATTCAAAGGTTGCTAGCAAGAGATCGCTCTTAGCAATAAAGCCATCCATTGTTTTCTCATTGTGATTATTTCTTGTAATTGTTTATATCTATAATAAGTTTACTATTGTAATTTTTTTGGAGGAAACAATAAAGACTATCTATCTATCTATCTACTGTGGTAATTACAGGTTGATAAGTAGGTGCGACATCTAGCTAGTACCACATAAAAGTAATTTAATGTTTACATCAAACAACGTTTCCAACGACGATATAATACAGAAATTAAAGAAGAAAATCTCAGCAAAAGAATTAACTATTGTGCCGTTTTTTAATATCCATTCGTTGTGTTGTACTCGTGCAAGGAATTAAAAGAGAAGTCACTTTCTAAAATTACGAGCATGTCCAAGAATATTGCTCGAAAAAAGTAGGTTTATTAAAAAATATAGCAATACGAACAGGCTATACGCGATACGATCTTGTCTCCACTTATTTTTTTTTTTTTGTATAATACTTAATATAAGTTTCTTTGTGTCTTTCTTCTGTCTTTCTTCGCAGTGAATGGATATTTGATAACAATAGTTCGCGTTGTGTACGCCGCAACGTCGACTGAGTCGCCGTATCACGTAGACAAATATTTTGTATTTGTTACAGGGGTAGTATATTTCTGCCATATATCAGTTTCCACGCTCATAACTTTCCCTCGCCGAGTTAACAGCACAAGTTTACTTTATTGTACGGGTCTAAATATTTATTATGCGACTACTTCAGATAATATCTAGGGTAATATAGTTTTTTTTAAGCAAGTTAGAATGGCGAACAAGCTGACGGTCTATTGATGGAAATTGGTAACCGTCGCCTATAGACATGAGCAGCACCATGGATATAACAGAGTATACTGTTTTGCCCATGATACCTCCCATACATTGGCATTCCTTGAAACACAAATGGGACAGATATACCACCTGCTTAGTACTTCATATTAGTTCGTCGTTTATATATTATATTTATTTTTTGGATCAGCCGTTAACTGTCCACTGCTGAACATAGTCTCTCCCATATTTTTTTTATACCACTAAGTTGGCATAGCCCATGCGTTGCTATTCCTGAGGACTAAGGATTTTTTTAATGGATGATAGTGGAACGATGACACCGCTTGTGCTATTGGTATACACTGACGGGATACCAGTGAGGGATAATCGATGAGGATGAAAAGCAGGTCAGTAAGTCAGGTAGCCAATCGTGACGAATTCAACGATAAATTAATTACGATAGTTTCCAGGGGGTACCGCGTGGAGGTCGACCTTATATTGCTAGCAATGGTGCTGTCTGACCCTATTACTAACAATCCCTTCCCCCCCTAGACTTGATAGTTGTAGGTAGGTGGAAAAATAATATTTAATGGACCAGTGAGAAATAATACCTGAATACAAAGCTATTCTGCAGGATAACAATCTACTTGAATTTAATTTCAAAAGAATTTTTATAGAATCTACAACGTGCTAAAAATAGAGAAACAATTCTGGCGAGCAGATCCTTTAATGCTTTAACTTTGTTTAGAGATAAAAATAAATAAAAAAAAATATTTTATATTTGTTATTTTTATAACAAACTTCTGTGCTAAATTTAGAAAAAAAAAAAGAGACATTAAATTAGTATGTATTGGTACTTTAGTCCTTTTTGTTCCGCTTGTGACTGCTTTTATTTTTAATGGGTGAAAATGGAATGGTCACCCCGCCCGCGCTATCGGTATACACCGACGAGGCACCAGTGGAAGATGATAGGTTAGAATGAATGCAGTTCGTTATTCGATCTCCACGCGGTTTTCCCTAGAAGTAATCATGGTTAATTCTTGTGGATTTCGACACGATGGTCTAACTAACTTGCTTTCTTCCTTACCTATCATTTCTCACTGGTGCTCTATCAGCCTGTACTGATGGCGTGGCACAGGTAGGGTTACCATTTCATTATCACCTATTAAAAAAGACAATAACATCAGCTACAAAGGATTGTTAGTGGAAACTACTGTGGTCAATTCAGTCAAAGAGGAATAACACCTGAGTCCTCAGGAATGGCAATGCATGGGGGGTATCATGGGCGAAACAGTATACTCTGTGATGTCCATGGTACTGCTCATGTCTATAGGCGTTACCACTTTCCATCAGGTGGGCCGTCAGCTTATTTGCCATTCTAAGTTGTATAAAAAAAAATACCAATAGTGCTGGCGAGATTATCATTCCATTTTCATCCCATAAAAAACATAATTTATATTTACATGGAACATCTCTTCACCAGGGCTTCGTATGTCTCTGTACTGACAATAGTGGCCTTCTCTCTGGAACGGTACCTCGCCATCTGCCACCCGCTGCACCTCTACACCATGGCGGGACTCCGCCGAGCGCTGAAAATCGTGGCTGCACTATGGGCCCTGTCGCTCCTGGCCGCATCGCCCTTTGCCATGTACACCACCGTCAGCTACCATGATTATCCACCAGGTAAGTGTAATTTAATTTATATATTTAATTTTTTTTTATACAACTTAGAATGGCAAACAAGCTGACGGTCCACCTGATGGAAAATGTTAACCGTTGCCTGTAGATATGAGCAGTACCACGGACATAACAGAGTATACTGTTTTGCCCATTATACCCCCCTTGCTTTGCCATTCCTGAGGACTCAGGTGTTATTCCTCTGTACCCAGTAAATTCATGCCATATCCCACCCTTCAAACCGAAACACAGCCATGCAAACAAAACTGCTTCACGGTTGCAACACGAATGGGACAGAGGTACCCAAGCAATCGACTTTTGTACAAAGTCTCCCTCTGGTTAATACCACACATAAACGTACAACCGTCTGATAGTAAACGCTCACTATAGTCTATGGATACTTAGGTGTCATGTGCGCTGTAGAAGCCTTAATATATGCTTTTTAAAGAATACCGTAGCACTCTAGGGAAAACTTTGCCATTATGTATTAACTATTCACTACCACCAGAGGGAGACTTTGTACAAAAGTCGTTTGCTTGGGTATCTCCGTTCCATTCATGTTTCAACCGTGAAGCAGTTGTGTTTGCATGGCTGTGTTTCGGTTTGAAGGGTGGGATATGGCGTGAATTTACAGGGTACAAAGGAATAATGAGTCCTCAGGAATGGCAACGAATGGGGGGTATCATGGGCGAAACAGTATACTCTGTAATGTCCATGGTACTACTCATGTCTATAGGCGACGGTTACTACTTTCCATCAGGTGGGTCGTCAGTTTGTTTGCCATTCTAAGTTGTATAAAAAGAAATACAAGTAAATTGATCTTGGTTTGAACACAACTTTTTATAATATCTTTTATTTGTTGTTTACATCTATATTTATCACTATTTTCACAGGTAGTACCTGTACCTAATACAATAGTGTAGGGGGAAAGGGGTTGTTAGTAATGCCGACTATCAGTCCCATTGCTCACAATATACCCTATCAGTTCGATGTGGTAGTTCAGATGTGGCCTCCCCTGGAAACCATCGTGCTGAATTCCAGATGTATTCATCACGATAGGTTTTTTTTATGGGTAAAAATGGTATGGTAACTCCACCTGCGCTAACGGTATACGCTTGCAGAACACCAGTGAAGGGTGATAGATGAGAATGAAAATAGGCCATGATAGTTTCCAGGGAGAACCGCTAAGAGGTTGACCTGGTTGGTTATATTGCTAGCAATGGGATTCTCAGTCTCCATTACTAACAATCCCTTTCCCCCCTATCACGATAGGTTAACTGACCTACCTTATCTTCCATGGAAAAAATTGTGTAACTATATTAATTTTATATATATATATATATATATATATATATATATATATATATGTCAATTGTATCTATTAGCTGCTAGCTAAGCTCAGCTTGCGTAAAGCTCCTGAAGCTAAAGAATAAAATAATACATTGAAATGGTAATGTATGCATGTCAGACAGCGGATCTCGAGATATTGTTTATGTTTACTTCATGATGGTAGGGGGAGGGAGGAATGAACGCGGAAGCATATCATGAATGTTTACATGGTGCACGATAAACTGTCAAATATGACAGTCAATATGCCCTTATAATATTGATTCACGCTCATCGTTGATTTTAGAAGCATTTATTATCCGATTATGGTAGAATGGAGGATTCTGTTATTTAGATTAATGTATATATATTCAAATCTTTTCGAAACCTGTAGCCTAAATGGCTTGAAGTACTTAGATAAATCCAAAGTACATTAAAATAAAAGAATAAACTTAGCTATTAGCTTGAGGTTACAGAAGCATACCACCTGGCTCCTCAGGAATGGCAACGCATGGGAGGTATCATGGGCGAAACAGTATACTCTGTTATGTCCATGGTACTGCTCATGTCTATAGGCGACGGTTACCACTTTCCATCAGGTGGGCCGTCAGCTTGTTTGCCATTCTAAGTTGTATAAAAAAAGCTATAGTTATTTGTAACCGACTTCAAAAAGAAGGAAGTATTCTGTTGGGTTGTATTTTATTTTATGTTTGTCACCTCACAACTCCATCAGTTGTAAACCGATTTAGAAAATTTAGATAATTTTTATCTCAAAAAAGTAATATATTTACAAATTAGTCCCATGAAAATGTTATCAATATCAGTTCAGCAATTTAGTATTTAAATTTAAATTTTTTAATGTTATATTGAATTAAGTAATATTTTGTTATTTCAATAAATATAAAATTATATTTTATTAAATAAATGGTATTTAAATTAAAATAATTGATTTTGTCAGAATTGAAGTCGGTTATTTGTGAAACTCTTACTTCTCGTAACTGCTAATGGTATGTGGTAAAGGAGCACTAGTGGTGGATGAAACGAAGAGGCTGGAAACAGGGGGCCTCCCATGAAATGAAATTCCGAAGTTTCGGACACAATTTCGTGTTTTAGTTCATACCTAAATTGGTCCAGTAAATGGAGCTTTGAACATTTCGTTCGTCATAAATACTACCATTAAAGTCCAAAGGAATAATATTTTACTATTTTTAATGTTTTTAAACGGTAAGTATTATGTAATTTTAACATCAAATTTGTGTTTCGTTCGGTTCCAAAATTTCGGAAAACATTTCATAGTAGGCCCTCAGGTCAGTTGCTCGTGGCAAAGACATTTCTAATAAAACAGTACAATCCTATCTAAATTTCTATTTGGATTCTATTTAAACTAATATTTATATCAAACTAATATTGTAAAGAGGAAAGAATTGATTTTTTGGTCGTAATAAAAATAACTCAAAAATACGATTTTAAAAATACCTCCACCTATAGAAAATTACATTATCAATTAAAAATATGGGCTGTACTTAATTTATTTTAATTAGAACTCTTATTTACTTGGCCATAGAACTGGAGTTCTCCCTCATTTCGTGGGTGTATGGCATAGTACTTCTGTACGTGCATCCCGTTCATCTAAGTTTATAAATGAGCTCAAGTCTTCAATTTTCCCTTTACAATATAAAATGGGGAATTTCAAAAAACATGCCTACAAACATTTAAAAGGCTCGCAACGCACAAGAAACTCTTCTCGTGTTGCAGGTATAAATGGGCGACAGTAGTCGCTTTCTATCAGGTGGGCCGTCCGCTCGTTTGCCTGCCTAACAATAAAAAAATCTAAATCCGGAGCGAGTTTACTAGCTAGAATATAATATATTAAACTGGGGAAGATGGAGGAGATTGTTAGTAATGCGGATTATCAGTTTCATTGCTAGTAATATACCCTAACAGGTCGACCTCCCCGTGGTCTCCCCTGGAAACCATCGTGCTAAATTCCAAGTGTATTCATCACGATGTGCTAACTGACCTGCCTTTTCATCCTCACCTATCATCTATCACTGGTGCCCCGCCAGCGTATACCGTTAGCGTAGGCGGGGTTACCATTCTATTATTATCCATTAAAAAAAATATATTAAACTGTAGTTTGAGATGTACTCATATATAGTTTCAGTATAGTTGTGTTAAAAGGAATCAGAGCCCTAAAAAGTTTTTCGAAATCTTGTTTATTTCAGAATCAAATGGAAAACTATTTAAACAGACTGCTTTTAAATACTTCGCCTTTTTTTTTATTCTAACCAGAAAAAAGTTACGCTTCAGAAGTGCTGGCAAGAAACTCGACTTTTACTTTTTGCAAACAAAAATAACTTTTCAAGTTAAAGGTTTAAGATATTTATTCTCTTTGAAGCTTTCAACATAAATCACCCAAATGAGTTTTCAGTGCCTACCTACATATTAGATTTTCTTGTGTTAGCGCCTGTAATTAATTTAATGTTATTAACAAGTAAGTAACACGTTATACACCTATTTTTCGTCACCATTACATAAAACTAGCTATTGTCCGTGGCTTTACACGCGTGGTGTCGTCCTCTTTAAGTTGAAATTTTCAAAAATCCTTTGTTAGTGGAAGCTTCAGGGGAGGGATTGTTAGTGATGAGATTGCTAGCAATATACCCTGTCAATCGACCTCCACGTGGTTTCTTTTGGAAACCATTATGGTTAGTTCTTGTTGGATTCGTCAAGATGGACCTAATGATCTGCTTTGAATTCCACCTATCATCCTTTTAAACCATACATATGCAACACAGACATGCAAATACAACTCTTTTACGGCATAAACTCGAGTGGGACAGAGGTACCCATGCAAATGTAATAAAAATTAAAATAAATAGTTGAATAATAAAATAAACCAATTGTTATGTTTATGGTACTGCTCATGTCTATAAGGCGACGATTACTTTCTAATTTCCATCAGGTGGGCCGTCAGCTTGTTTGCCATTCTAAGTTGTATAAAAAAATCTTTATAAATGGTATTCGTCCACGAGTATGACAAATAAGTCATATATTCCACTCCTTTGTAAACCATATCGTCATCATATCAGACGGTACTATCCACTGCAGAAGGAGGAGCTTGGTAGGCGGATAGGCAACCACAGTTAGCTCTTTGGTGGTGTTTTAACAGGGACACTGCCCTCTGTGCCCCGTACTCGTACTTCGGGAACTTAATCCCTTAGTCGCCTCTTACGACACCCACGGTAAACGAAGGGATGACCCCTTCTATACTACTACATGGCAATATGCCTATGTACACCTTTTTAAATATATATTACATGCATGCTGCCTTCTCTAAGGTTGAACTTTTACTTCAATGTTTGAATATTTAAACAAATAACCAAATCACAGGTAAATCTTGTTTCAATTTTCAGTTTGTTGCCAGTAAATGCATTTTTTATTATCACAAACTGACCTGTGGCCTTCTTTATTGGATTTCTGCCCAGATGGACAGCAAACGAACCTTACTTTATTTTTTATAATTTATTTATTTATATTTTATTCATTTAAATTTCAATGCACATGCAATTTGTACATATGGCGGACTTAACATCTAATGGTGTTACTACCATTTGTGTTTTTACCGTGAAGTAGTTGTGTTTGCATGGCTGTGTTTCGGTTTGAAGGGTGGGATATGG